TACCAACTCTTCGTGTTCATTGACATCTTTATAACTCTTTAAGAGCTGTAAGCTAACTCTTCAGTCATTGATTGCACCTTTATAACCTAAATGGACCGGGAAATTGTCGATCCCGGCCTAAATATAATTATACGACGCGGCGATCTCGCCTGGCGACCCGCATAATCATAGCTAGACTCCGAATTGTAATGCTAGATGATACAGTTCTTTCACTTAAAGTTCTTGTCCAGTTTTGATAAAATATGAATCATAAATAACCCGAAAATGTTTTGACTGCCCTCGAAGCTCAGTCAAAAGTCTCTTGAGTGTTTTAGTCCGGTTCCCGAAGTGACGTCATTAGTAGCCCGACCCAGATCCCACTTTGCGCGGTCGTGAACATGGAAATTACATGTTTAGACGCCTGTAGAAACGCAGGGATTTTATCAATCGAGATACTTTTTTGGCTGAAGTAATCAGGAAAACTAGTAGATTTTATTAAAGGAAAAAAAAGGGGGGGTTAGTGGCACTTTAAATAGGGAAGGTTAGTTGACACGCTTCACTTTAAAACAATGCGTTAAGAGCTTGCTCTAACGGTCACCTACACCTGTGCAGGGTAGAAAAATTCGATTTTCTCAAACTTTGTCAGCAAAAAGGTTTTTACTAACTTATTCCGAAACTGTAACTTTGAGGTTCTTTGGATTTTTATTTTCTGCTTGAGTCCTCGCTTGCAGCGGTTCCTAGTTTGTTCGTCACGCAATGCTGTCATCCCATTTTAGGGGGTATTCAAGGCTTACGGAGCCTTACGTATTAGGATAGAAATTGTCCTACCCCTACCTCCAAAATGAAATGACAGCATTGCGTGACTAACAAACAAGGAACCGCTGAGAGCGAGGATTCAAGCAACAGTAGATCAAACGATGATCAACTGTAATATTTTGGTGTACTGCAAAGCAAGCAACTACCTACAAATCACTTAGCCGTTTTTGTCTTAGATGCAGTGGTGATCATATGTGTCGAAAGAGGGTCATAGATTTATGGTATTCGACCATTAAATAGGTTGACAGTTGGCGATGTACATCGGACGTTGTGTAAACAAAACCAAACTTCAGCTTTATGTGCGACGAATGGTGACAGAAACATGCACGTCAAATCGACTTTTGGATCTGCCTTTTACAGCAAATAAGGTTGGAACATTTCGAAATTACCAGCTCTGTGTCTATTTCAACTTAATATAGCTCAAGACATGTGGCGCGTGCTAAAATATATGTCTAACCC